TTTTATTAGTAGCATTATTTTGACAGTTTTAAAATGCTTATATAAGTCAAAGTAAAAATAACAGGATGTAATCACTACCTCCAACACAGTAAATCTAAATCTATATTGCTGTTCTGCTCAGAACGGCAGAGGTCATTGCATACAAGTTCAGAAATTCTGTTGGGTCACTGTATTGCTTTCTAGCTGCAAAAATCAGTTTAGAACCTCTGTGATCAAACGCAAAGGATAAGAAGAAAAGCCCTTCATGTTTACTCCACATTTACTCTATGTTTCTATGGCTGAAAGCCAGCAACAGCAAAGCAACTAAGAATTGCCAGGCTAAGTCTCCATTTATCTCACTCTTACCTAAGACCTAAAACTGTTTATTCAGACAAGAGAACTGACAGGACTGTATCACATAAAACACTGACTTAGTAAAAGCTTCAAAATGCCACTTTTTTTTTTTTTCTCTTAACAAAAAACACACAACACTAAAGGGTTTCTTAAGCAGAAGCATAGAAATTCACGCTACTGGTAAAAATTGGTGCTTTTGTTCTTGTTCTGTGGGAGGGGATGCTTCTGCTTTATGAAAGGCATCCAAGTCCTTTCCAATAAAAGGAAATATAATCCAAAAGAGGCAAGGGAAAAAAAAAAACAAAAAAAAACCATGTACACAACGTGGAGAAAATAAATGAGAACGACAGGTGGTAGATTTAAAACTGCTTTAACTTTTCTGTTCAATAGCCAAAGCAAACACCAACAAATGGGGGAAATGTTCAATTAAGGAAAGCTAAGCTTAACCTCCTAGCAGTTATACTGCTTACTTTTGTAAGCAAAAGTGACACCAATCACAGGTTTAAAACACTAAATAAAGTCAAAGCAAAAAGGTTTAAAAAACTAAGTTAAAAGCTCTTCTGATCCACATCCTTTGATAGTTGCTTTCAATGCCATGACTTGTATTGAAGCTGATGTTCAGAGAGAACTGTAATCATTTAAGAGTTTAAGTGGTGACAGAAGATATCCTAAATTTATCAGGAAGCATAGGACCCATTTTTCTCATTTATTATCTACATAAGAGTATTTTGAAAGCTTAGGTATTCAAGTTCTTCTCACATTTTACTTCTTGCTCCCATATAAGTTATGGCACAAGCTGAATTGTATGCACTCGTATCATCACAGCCATCTTGATACATATTTCTAAGTTTTCTTCAAAGTTGACTGTGCTTGTTTATGGAAAAGGCTTGAATTCCCACTCAATACTCATTTCCCACGCCTATTACAAAGATTAGCTATATTTTAAATGGACCATTGAGAGAATATTTACTATTAGTAAGAAGCAATAACTGGTACCTAATACAGTCCTCCCATATACAGCATGTAGTAAATGCTTCCACAGTTAATTCAGTGCATTCCAGATATATACAGTTCCACAACAAGAAAAATGGAGAAAATCAAAGTATTCTTGTTCTCAGCACACACCATGATCCATTTAAGCCACCTCACCACAACTGAAGTGTTGGCATACCATGTAAGACAGAGAGAAGCAGAAGCCATGCGGCAAATGAAAATTGAGAGAATACCCTAAACTGATAGCACTGAATGCTTTAAAATTAAAGACTCATACCCCGAGATTGCAGATTGTTGAAACATTGGGTTCTTTGATGCTTACAGCCTTCCTTTGTTCTCTCTATTTCTCTGTATCCATTCTCTTTTAAGCTAGGACAAAATTAAAATCCTAAGCTAACTGAAGAGAAAAATAAAATAATTTTTCTTGAGAAGTTGCTTTCACTTAGATTTCAGACACTCAGCTCACAAACCTCTTTGTTTACAAAGCCAAAGAAAAATTAAACAACAGCAACAAAAAAAAAATAAAAAAAAAAATCCACCACAACTGCTCTGGCTGACTGAAAATAAGAGCAACTGCGATCACAACAAATTTAAGACAGCCTGGCTAGGAGATCAGCACCTCACAGAACTAAATGACTTTGTTTCCCTGTACACAGCTGTTAACATCTCCCGCAGACACTACTACCTGCTATCAACAAAACAGAGCACAGAATGAACAAATATAATGTACATGTTGGACATGGGTCATCCTTCACATGACGGTGCTGCAGGTACCAGAACATTAGCAGAAGAATTACAATAATCTTGGAGGATATAAAAAAAAAAAAAAAAATCTAATTCCCAAGAACATGATTTTGTCAAGGATCCTCAGCTTCCAATAGGCTCAGAAAAATCAAGGACCCAATTCTAAAAAGTCATTAGAAATTAAAGAAAAATAGAAATCAATAATTAGATATACCAGTGTTCATGTTCAGTGCTTCTTAAAAGTGTAAGAACTGCAAAGTCTACGCAAATGCCTTAAAAGCATTTCTCTCCACGAGGTTTGCTTGCCAGGCTCCAGGCTGAGAGGCAGACAGCGCAGCTGCAGGCTGCCTCCCTTCCTTTGCTGATCTCAGAGAACATCCAGGCACTGCTGCAGCCCAGTGTCCTTCCTGTGGGAGCTGCTTTTAAGCTATCACTAACCACTTGGCCCCTGCACGAGCTACAACTCCTGCAGCACACCATGCTGATCCAGGCCTCCATCTGTGTTGACACCCAGCCTCTCCTGGTGACCTTGCCCAGCCATCCTGACTGACTGACCCAGGCTCCCCTCACCAGCCCTGCTTTACATACCTCACTTGGGTGCTGCCAGCCTACTGCGCTTAGCTCTGGGCTCACCTTCTCTCTTGGAGCTGCCAGCCCTGACTGCTTTCTTGCAGCCTAATCTGATGTTTTCTCTCAAGCAATCAAGAGCGAATGTAAGCGATAGAATGTGATTTATTAATGGTCTAATTACAATTCAAATAACTCTAAGCCAGCTAGCTTGAGAAAATAAAGCCAAGAGGAAGTATCGAATAATACATTTTTAGGTCAATGTGACCTTTGGTGAGGGCAAGAAATTCGTTATGAAAATCAGACTTCATGGTCACACGAAAACGAACCTGGAAAAGAAGCAGACACCATTGACATGAATGCTGACTTTACTAGGAATACTTCTGACCCATCTATAACGTAATATAACTCCTGGAAATACGCCTACGTGGACAAATTTTCACTTAGCTTTGATGGAACAAGAGAACAAACCAAAACAAGAATAAAGGGAATAGATTCTTTACTACAGGTAGAAATAATGTCTATACACTTCCATGTGGAGATTAAAAATTCAAGGAAAGTGCTAGACTAATCCAGGCAGCTATCCAGGGAAATCAGAGAAGAGCTCCTTTTTATTTCTATGGATAAATTGTTCAAACTGATTCAACTCATAGAGCTTTCTCTACTTATTCTGTCTAGAGATAGGCTTGAAGACACAGCTTCGATTATCTTGTTTAAACCTTTTAGAATGCTCCCACTTAAGCACTGCCACATGCAGTTCCAGCAGCTAGAAATGAGAAAGTAAGTTTCTGTGAGATCACAGCGCATTGAATCTCTGTTCCACCACCACCAAGTTGATTCCAACATTCTGCATTTCTTAACTGTTCTTTTTGTCAGAGTTGTAATCTCTTCTTACACATTTCTCCAGGACCACATTATCATCTTTTCCACCATTACACGTTTCTTATGGATGAATGATCTAACTTCTTTAAGTATTAATAAGCATTAAAAAAAAACAAAGCAAAACAAAAAAACACCAAGAAAAAAAACTTAGTGCTTATTCTGATACAAGCCTTCCATAAACAGCAATTCTTGGAATCAGCAAGTAGTAAGGAAACTCTTATTTACAATACTAAAGAATTTAACCTTCTAATGCCATTCCACACTAACCTCTTCTCTGACAAAAGTCTCCTCTTTCTTCTTCACAGAATAAATTACGCATACCTACAGCCAGAACTATTTGATGGAACTAAGAATTATCAGATATCTGAAGACCAGGGACTAGAAAGAACTGTTGTAAAATAAAAGTATTGAGATAGCTTTCTGAAAAAGCCACATTTCTGGAAAACTACACAGTAAGCTAGCAGGGCTAGTAGATACCAGCAGGAATCATAGAAAAAACAAAGCCACTAGAGCCACAGCTGCAACTTCTTCTTCCATTAGAATGATCTAGAACTCTAAAATTACAGTCCTGAGCTTTTGCAGCACAGGTGAACGTGATCACAGTAGCAGCTTTCTGAAGTAGACAACCACCTACACAGAGTTCCAACAGGAAAATCAGAGCTTAAGTAAAAAGAAAGTAAAAAAATGCAACTATTCTGGGGTTATTCAGTTCTACTGTATAAATACAAAGAAAGAAAAAAGTGTGGAAATTCTGAAAGGATCAGAGAACAGAATACAACATGAAAAAAGAAAGATGCAAATGAAAGACAGGGAAAACAAGTTTCTGAAACAAACAAATTGAAAGAGCTAAGCATGCATGAAAATATTTCAATTACAGAGAGTTCTGATGACTTCAATTCTAGCCTCTTAGCAGTAACAGCACCCATTGATTCAATTGCATATATTAAAAAGAACTCATCTTACAAACTCAGACAAAACAAATTCCTGCAGCATCATTAACCTTGGATGAAATTATGAATAAACTGGTGATCAGTTTCAGTCCTCAGAGCTTTCACTGCTAAACACTTAAACCTGTATCCTATAACATAGGGGTGATCCACAATCAACTTCATTAACATCAAGTATTTAAATTAACTATCACAAGGGGAAATTAAAATACCTGCAGCTCTGGAAGTAATTGTTTTACATAAAACTTCTAAGCAATTCATAGAGTATATGTTTTTCTTCCCAAGAAAGTATACTTTCCAAATACATTCACTACTTACAACTTCTTGAACTACAGTACAATACATTTAAAGCTACACACAGAAAGACATCAGCTCTGTAACATATAAAAGACACAGTGGATTTCAGTTGTGTAACAGCAAAGACGATTTAACTTTAATTCAGCAAGAAAAAAACAACAAGCAAAATCTCTTTCTAAAAACCGAGCTGGAAAGAACAATTACAAAGACAAAAAAAAAAATATAGCAAACACTTACCCTTCACCCAGTGCCTTCAGCAGTTAAGAGGAATGATTTGCAGACGAGGACCAGGTTCACAACCTCTAATCAGCATCTCCTATTTATGACTAGTGGAGAAAGAACACCAGCCCAATTAAACTCTATTCTGGCACAGGTGCATTCTATACATCGTTAGGGCAACGGCTTGTTTTTGTTAACACAAAGAACCTGAGACCACACAGGTGGTCATCAGCACAGCTTCTCACAATTTAATCCTCATCATGGGCCTCCACTATTGAAAATGCTGGGTAACCATAAAATAACATAATATTAGAGCTCCAAAACTAGAGCAATATTGTGTTTACATGACTTTTTTAAGATATGCAATGTGCAAAAGGCCCATTAAACTGTACCATACATATTCCCACACAAACAAGAGAGAAATAGGGCTAGTAAAGTACTTCAAAGCCTAGCCCAATTTTTATTTGTCCAGAAATGAAAAAACACTGTGGTGAATTCTAAAAGAGAGGTTTGCATGTTGTTTTCTCCAAACAAAAAAAGAGGCAGAGAAATAGTAAATTTTTACCACATTTCTCAGCGTTTATATGTATTCACATAAAAACTATGTGAATGTGTAAGCTGAGTACTCAAAGGTTCGTCTGCCTCAAAAGCAAGATAAATTTACTTTTTCTGAGCTCTCCACTCATCATGGCTGTATCCTCAAGAATTTTATGAGAAACATTGAATGTAATAGCACTAGTCTCATCACGGCCATGTACTTAGAAAAGCAAAGATGGGTGCACCTTTGTCTTGAAAGGTTGGAGCTGAACTTTAAGTAACAATCTAAGAAATGCTTCTGACATTTCTTTCTTAAAAAGGAAAACTTTCTTTTTAACAGACGGTAGACAAAATCACACGCTTTAAGTTTTCCCAAAGGCTAATTTTGCTCATTTTTACTTCTGCAAAATCTGACGGTCTAGGGGAAATAATTTGTCAGGTTGTCATAATGTAAGCTGAATTCACTAAAAACACCCAATAAGTAAAACTTTTATACCAACATGTCAAACTGTGCTATTTTAGCATATTTCTATTTATATCAGCGCACATGCATAGAACTCTAGCTAGTGAAAAAAGCTTATCTTGTTCAGATAAGCATGCTTGAACAAAAGCTCTGCCATCCCTCACCAAGCATTTAGCTAATTTTATTTGTACCGTTTTTATAGGAACTAGTGATATCAGTTCACAGATGTAGGTACTTTTCTTCCTTTTCTGCCTCGCTCACTCATTGTCCTCCTCCTCTGAAAGCATTTAGTGCTCTTAAAGTAATTTACTGGGGGGGCATTTTCTATGGCACATGACTTGGAAGGGCACTTCTAAGGTAGATGGAATTATAGAAGCTCTTACACTGCTCAAGTGTTGGGTTCAGGTGAAGTTCAGAAGGGTTCAGGAGCGCACCACATTGCCATGGAAAACTGTGAACCTGTTATCCAACGTAGGCTTAGTGTGTCATAGTACCTCCTCACCTTGTTGCCAGGCAGCCTCTTCCATTTCTTGTGGCCAGTTTTTATCTGAGAAATGCACTTTCTCTTCCCCAAAGGAGGTGGGACCAGGGGAAGAACAGGGAGGGTCCTAAGCCAGAGGATACCTCTCTCTATCAAGCTTACTCGTATGCCCTTTTTCACTCTTCTCATAACTTTATTAACCAATACATTATCTAAGTATATCTAATATGTTCAAAGCTGACTCTAATGCCTTCTAAGTGTTCAAATGTCTATATTTTGCTTTAAAATGTGAATTTAATAATTATGAAATGTGTATATTTTTCTTACTTTTTTTTTGTCACATCTGTACCACGCTTTGTAAATTCAAGTGATCTTGTTCGTTGCAAGCTTTCATCGAAAATGAATGTTAATCAGAAATTGTAATTGTACATCTTATATGTTAGTCCTTTGTCTTCTGTATTTCTTTTCCCTAATAAGTTGCACCTAAAAATATTTTTGAATTTCTCTGTTTTTAAGTTATGGAAGTGTAAAAATGAGAGATTCAGGTAAGAGGACTTAGAGAACTATTAATATACAAGGGCTGCTCCAAAAGTAATGCCTTCTGTTTGATGATGTTGGCAGTATGGCAGTAGAGCTCAAACCTTCCTACTAATATTCCAGTACATTTTTTGCCATCTGACAGAACAGTGCCTGACACGGAAGTACGTATGAACCAAAGGTGTGACACTGAATTCTTCCATGCAGCAAAAATGGCACCCGTTCACATTCATGGATACTTGCTGAATTTTGATGAAGACCAAGCAGAGGAGCACAGTGAGGCAGTGGGTGCTGCTGTTGCAGTTCCCATGGAAATAAAAAGGAGGCTTCATTTTTTTGAGCAACCTACCTATTTAATTTCTTCTCTTTAGAAACTAGCATACAGATGAAAAAATAGCTTACAGGCTATTTTGAAGTGGAACTGGTGATGTTTATAGACTTCAATAGACACAGATGGATGAAAGGTTGGGGATGGATGAAAAGGGGGAAGGGAAGGGAGGGAAAGGGAAAGCAAGGGAAAGGACTCATGAATTTCGTTCTTTCTCCATCCAAATTTGTAACAACTTAAAATTCAAGTAACAGAGGAACCTTATAAAAGCCATCAACATAATGTTAATTCTCAAATATTCATAGCTCCCACTTTTTGTGTCACAACAGAAGTACGCAAGGTCTTGTACTTTTGAGAGCAGTGATCACAGTGTCAGGAAATCAAGAGTCATTCTCTTATAATGCAATAGGCTCAACAAATAATAAAAGATATGCCTTATTAAGGCAAAACATCCACTGTGTGAAACCTTTTAAACTGTTTTAGAAGAATTATACAACCAAGAGATAATGATTCCAGGTTGGGATTTTTTTTACCTGCTTCCAGGCAGTCATAACTGGTAAGTAATTCTTAATAGAAATCTATGCCAAAATGATTGCTTGAAACCCTATGTAGCTTTTCACTCCAGCCCTTAGTGAGCTTATAAAATGCATCAATTATTCCATTAGCCATACTTGTTCCTCTCCTCTTGTAACCATATGCCATAACGAAATAGAGAAGCTCTTCCCTACATTTCTCCATGCCTATTAAAGGAGATTTTATTACGTACATATTAATTAGAAATAATAATGCTAACTGACTTCCATTTGCCACAGCTGCCTTCATCTACTTCACATTAAGTCATAATTATCGTTCTTGTCTGCCTTCAGGAATCCTCCATTAACCACACCTATAGAACTGAATACTGATTGGGGAAGATACAACATAACTGTTTTAATAGTAATCACTATGCATTTTATATTATTCATTGCATTCCATTTTTGAAATGAGTACACGTGATAATTTTTGCACTTGCTTTTGTCAGCCCCACACAACAATAACAGGAATGGTGTACTTGTGGGATTGCACTCAGCAACACACTGAAATGCTCGGACTTTACAGAGGTTTGCATCCAGAAGATTAAATAACAAATTAAGTAAAATAACAAAGTGCCTCAATATGTAAGGAAAGCAGATTGTTATGCTGATGTGTGAACTCACTAGAATACATGGAGCTTCAGGACAAATTAAGACAGATTTTATTTCTTGAAATTATAGCAGATGAAGCATCCAGCTTCAGTTCTTACAGCAAGTGCAGTATCTTACCAGCTCTGACTCATGCTACAAGGGCAACGCATTGGTTACTCCTTGTTTCTACCAGCATGTCAACTTAGGAAAGAAGTATTTCATGTTCTTTCATGTTTGCAAATCTAATAAAGAATTATATACCTTATGATAACCTGTATATTCTGATAATTTTCATGTAACAGTGCTCACAGAAATAAGGTCTAAGGCATTTGTAGCGAAAGATGCTGTGGTTTTTCAGACACAAAACAGGCGTTTTCATGTAACTTATTTATGTTTGTATTTATATTTAAATATTATGTGCATATTTAGATTTATGTGCTTCATTATGACAGTTGCATTTCGTTGTTTGTGAGGACTGTGAAGAAGGAGTTCCATATTCAAAGCTGTTATGAAAAACCACCTCTGTTGCTGATCAGAGTGCCAGGTCCCGGGAAGAGGCCTTTTCTGCCTCTAAAAAGACTTATTTAACTATTCAAAATATAATTAGGATCTGGCTACAATACAATTTAGTATAGCTTATACTCCAAGCTGGGCATGATTTAAAATATATTGATGACAGTTTTTAGTCAAATATAAAGAAAAAATTCAGTGCTGAAAATGGCAAGAGCAGAAATGTGTTTACGAATACTTGAAAAGAAAAAAATAGGAAAAGAATGGGAAAAGGGAAAAGGGAAGAAAAACATTGCTACTTCATTTCCCAGTATAGTTGCTACATATACCCAAAAAAGCATATGTTTTCGCTCTGGTATAAATGTAAATGTCCGTTATTGGTGATGGAGAACAAGGCCATCTATATATGTTCCCAGTAGTGTAGGATAATAGAAATATTGTTTCAAACCAGATGCACTACATAGATCTCCAGTTAACACAACAGTCAGATGTACAGGAGTGAAGGGTACTGTAATCATTCACATTGGCCTTCGTTCCTGTTCATCCAGGAGCATTATCATTAGCTTTTTGTATATTAAATTGATTGCTCTTCAAAGCTGCAGCATCTCCAATGGCATGCTTTTCTGATTATAGAAAGAAAACTGTTATATTTGCAATCCTAGATATAGTCTCTAAAATGAAACAGCACAGAGTCAAATAGGCATAAAAATAAACACTACTCTAACCTTCTGAATACAGTTCCAAGTTGGTCTGCAGCATATGCTTTCAGAAATTATCTGTTCTTAGCTCTTTTAGGCTATTCTTACTAAATGAAACTAAGAAAATTGGAAGCATTAGTGTATTTACATGAAAATCCAAGAGTTTGACCAGCTATAAATCACAGGTCTCCTAATGATGACCAGCTATGAGCAAAGCATTTATATGTTTAACCTCAATTTGTCTTGCTATACAGACAGCAGTGTGAAAATACGTAATATATGAGGTAAAGAAAATTTAATTCATTAGACAAAAAATACTAAGTCAAGCAGATCACGCTGTGAGCTAAATTACAAAAGGCTCTTTCCCACTAGATTTTCATCCCTCTCTGCATGGAACCTTTCTCACTAGCAGCTATCTCCACCCACATATCAAACAGAATCACGTTCGTCTATTTCTTTACATAAGTTTCTAATAGATAATCAGATGCTTTATGCTTGCTTCTGCATAAGGCTACATTTCACTCAGAACATAAATCAGATTTTCATATGACAGTTTGTTTCAGGCTGTTACCTAATAATTTCTACTGCTGTCAGAAAGACTGTGGAGCAAGCAGATTTCATCAGGAGGATTCATCAGGATTTCATCAGGCTCTTCCAATCCTATTTTTCTACACTCCTACAAGTTTGGAAAGAATTTTTCTTCTGTAGCTGGAAACTGAACCACTGCATTGCTTCATTACTTTAGTAGCAAAAATGGAGCCTGAACACCAGACCATCAAAGCTGACCATTAAACTCTATGACATACAACAGAGGAAATGTTCCATCTAACTCCCATGTGTTTAAGCTGGAATTCTTGAAAATCCTGGCATTGTTTTCTTTTACAGACAAGTCAGTTAGTACTAGGAAACCACAAAAGCCCAAACAACCACACAGTAATATGATCTGCAGTATATTTTTCACACTACACAATGAGTAAAGAGCACAAGCAGGACACATGAATGTTCTTTTGTGCAAGACCTTAGGCACACACAGAGAGTGGAACTGAGCTTGCAGATTGAATACCCAGGTTACTCAAGCAAGGTCTAGAATACTAATTTTATTATTTTGGAGAGCTTTCGTGCTCTTATTCAATATGCTTTCCTTCTGCATAATTGAAATCCATATTAACGCAAAGCTCATCCTCTTTGTGCCTTGATCTTTCATGGAATCACAGCTATGAGAAGCATCACTGCTCATTCTTTCATAACAGCACCATTGAGACATTGAAACTCCAAACACAGAGGCAGAATGTTTATCTTAGTTTGAGAGATAGTGCTAATTGCTCCTATTGCAGTGCTGTGACAACACAATCATATAATTTCCATTACTCAAGATTGTTATTTCAAATGATTCTACTCATTTACATAAGAAAATTTAGCAGTGCTAGCCGGGGATCTCAGAATGGTTCTGTACTGCATGAGATAAATGGTTAATAGTCTAGCTCTTCATAAGGCATGGTAATATTCACTACATTGTAAAACTGAAACCCCAGGCAACACTAACTAAAATATTACAGCACTTAGATTAAGTTATTATGAGTGAAGACACATACCCTAGGAAGAGACAACGGGATGGAGCCATTCAGAAAATTCACTGTTGTTCTGAATGTGATAACAGTAGCCATTCTGATACATTTCTACAAAATAAACTGAAACCCAGTAAATACAGAAAATCCACAGTACTATACACGATAGATAGGCTTCTACAAAAGCATTAAAAATTCCTTCATCAACAGAAGATAAACAATCATTCATGAGAGACTGACATTATAATACCAAAGCAAGCATCACTCACCATAGCCTTCAGTTAGCAAGGCTTCGTTCCTTTGGTACCCAGTACAGTATGTTTACAGTTAGAGCTGAGCATGGTCTATCCTCTGCCTCTCAAGCTCTGAAAAACAAACAAATAAACAAACAAGCAAATGAATAAATAAATAAACTGTCTTTAAGCAAAAGAAAAATTCAAGAAAGTTTCTAAAGAAGATCTAGAAAATAAAACATTTTGATCTAATAGGCTCCCTATAACTGCTACCAAAGCCATATGAATTTCAAAACTCCAAGAGCAAAGAGAGAAAATGTTAATGAAAGAAAATCACAGGACTTCATACTAACCCATATACCTCTGGCATAATGTGCAACATCCGTCTTTGTTTTCCAAGAATTCATACAAATGCAATACTAAAACTATAGAGTTGTGGACAGATAGATAAAGCTCTACCAGGTTTTATTACACTGCACAGACCCAATGAAGAATATCACAACTGCCACACACTTCTTCATGCCCCTCTCTTAATGTAGACAGCTCTAATACATAAACCAGCCCTCCCCAGCTGGCATACTTCAAAAATTCTAAATCACAGTTTATTGCTTTTGTGTTATTGTTAAATGTATAAAGAGTCTATTTAGAAAACTGTAGCAAGACACAAAAAGCTTCTTCCCAGAAAGGAAACTGTATAGTCAGAACATTTTGTTGCTTCTAGAAAGAAGATGGTTATGAATAATATGGTGAGGACTTTCAGAACATACTGCATCAATCAAGTTCTGCATGAGTAATTATAACAATGTTTTATAACACCATTAATTTTGTCTGCACAACATAACTCAGTTTTCTGAAATACAACACTTCTTCCCCACAGGATGAAAACCTTCAATATAAGTTCTTGGTAAACTACTGTAACTTTGAAGAGAACATCCAAGACATTAATATTTGTTTTCTGGACTAGAATTTGAGGTCACAGAACGTATTGTCTGCAAAACTGGCTGATCTCCTACTGTGGCAAAGACTTTACAAACATGTAGAAGCTATTAGGTGTAGTGAGGCTTATGTCTCTAAGTATTAAAATCATTTTTCCTTCTGGTGGGAAGCCAACTCACTTCTTTGTCTTTATTGCTGCTCAGATTGGAATGAATCCATTTCTTATGGCTATATCCTCAGATATCAAGTTAATTTTTCATTTGTCATGTTTGTATCATAATGGACTAATAATTCCCCTGTAGAAGTCAACAGCCAGTGAATAGTTATATTGCTACAAAAAATAATATTAATTATAAGGAAGGCTAAACTTCAAAAGGCACAAAGCTCGCAGGTCCCACAGACCAATACTAGATTCAGAAATGATTACAGCGGTTCATATAGCAATGATCAGTCCAGAATTTCATAGTAATACTGTGAAGAAAATGATAAGAAAGGTCAGAGGTTGCACAGACAAGACATATAAAAGAAAATAATAGATGCAGGCAGAAAATTGGAAGGAGAGGTAGAAATGAGATAGGGACAAGTTACTTGAATAGGGACTAGTTACTTGGAGTAATGACAAGTCAGACATGGTATCAGAAACGTGAGACTGATACCAGGAACAGCATCTCCCTAAGACAGGCTGTAGGATGGCAGTCTTACAATGAATCCTCAATTTTCTGAAATAAGTTTGCTTTTGCTTACCTTACGTGCGTCTGTGTAACCACACAAGAAGTGTGGTCAGGTTGACTAATAGGCGTTCAAGATACTTGTGAAATTAAATTCCTTTTTAATGAGAAGTCATATTATGAAGTTTGCTGTAAATCTGTAGTTAAACCAGCTCTGTTCTAATAATTCCACTGGAGTTAACAAAAAACATTTGATGAAACAAGAAAGTTTTTTTCTTATTATTCCCAGGGAGCTGATACTAATTTGAATGACATATATAAGATGGTAAAGAAACAGACTTAGAATGGCAAGGCATTCTGTTTCGCTATAATATTCATAACCTTGAAAGAAAATAAAATAATAAACAGGATCATTCAGAATTCCTCAAGTATTTATTATTTATTTCTATTTCATCCGATCCATTCACAAGCATCCTTGCTTCTCCCCTCTTACTTACCCCCAAGATACAGCTGGCCACTAAAATTACATACCAAGGAAAATGCACTTGTACCTATTGCAGCCTTTTCACTTTTTATGTGTACTATATCTGAGCATGTGTAGATTTGGTATATTCAAAACACACAGATGTATTTGTACCAACTATAGTCACCAGCTTTCAGTTCTAATACTTGTTAGTATTAGTTTCCAAACACAATTTCCTAATTAAAAAGGAAATAAGACTTTAACAAGATTCATTTCTGTTCTTTGTATTTGTTACTTAAATTTTGACAAAGTGCCACAATAAATTTTAGCATGAAAATTTATAAACAGAAATGTCAAACCAGTGATGACCTAAACTGCAGTTTGTAAGCATCTTTTGCACTACTTTGATTGCAGTTGCCTATTAAGCACCTTCCAAATGAGATATATTTGTCCATGTTCTACAACTAGTACTAGAATAATCATTCTAGTGGTACTAATTGGACTGAGACAACCACTGAACTTCCTCTCTGAGCCCTGCCCAGACCAATTAACAGCTGGTTTCCTGCAAGAAGGACTGCCAGACAGACATTCTAGGCAAACAGGCATGTGTTCATTCAAGGTATCCTCCCAGCACAGTAACACAGTCTTCAGATCTAATGATACTGAGCCTCACTTCTGCATTCTATCTAAAATAATAGAAAGGAAAAGATGTATCAAATTGTAAAAAGTGGGTAAATAAAGGCCAGCAACTTAGCTTACCATGATATTCACTCTTTCCTAGGTTACTAGAATAACAGTTTGACAGGTAAAATTGCATATAATTGTGTTTATTTGTATAAAATTGCCAGAAAAAAATACCTTGACATTCCCAATCTGCCTTATTTCTTACTTAGTCTATCAAAAGCACTTCTATTTTTTGTCTCCATGGCAATTCACTTTGCTTTTAACTGCAAGGTGATTACATTATTTCCAGCCTTATGTGTGTAAGAGAAGACAGTTTTGAAAGCAGAAAATCCTTCTGCAAAGAAAATTAAACAAATCACATTTTATTTACAAAAACTAATGTTTTTTCTGTCCCTGTTTATAGTTTCTTTGGCTCTACTGGCAAGATGCTCCATGTGAATTCTAACTCCCAGTTTTGCAGGTAATCTACTAAGAAAGGTTACACTGACAAATCCATCCACTGTATATTGAAAACATACCTGGGGTTTGAATAAAATGTATCCATAATGCCAAAGGAACAGCTTTCATCCTTACTGAACTACGTAGTTTTTAATTACTTGTAATGGCAAGTAATAAAATGGTGCTAATTCCACCCATTTGCAGAGTGAATTGCAGGAGTAGGCCACAGTGTTCCACCTCCAAACAAGTCTTAATGCTACCTTAGTAGTTTTAATTCACTGTCCTTCACACAAGAATAGTTCATTATTAGTTCATTTCATTCACCAGATTAGTTAGTGATGGAATAATAGCAGTAGAGATTCTAGGAGATGGAGTAGAATTCAGTACAGACAATTGCATCTAAATCAGAAAGCAATCACAAGCAGAACTGCGAGTAATTTCTTAGCCTAGCAGATGCATAGAAATCTCTGCCCAGTAACACGGAGAAACGAAGCCACTTCAAGCAGCACAGTTAAATGTACAATTTTATCCTTTGAACCCGTAATCCTTTCAATTTCAGTGTATCTTCAAGCAGATGGAAATTCTCCTGATGAGATTTTTCCTTCCACCATGTAGAAGTCCCTCACACCAAAATCAGGTAGCTTCTTTCCTGTTACTCACTGTTCCATTCCTGCAGGGTTAGGAGATTTTACATTCCAGGGCATAGCTTTAATTAAGAACATCCTTTTAAAAGACAGCGTTGCAGCATCTTCACAAAACTGGGTGGGGTTTGATCAGATATGATTAATTTTGAAGAAGTGTTTCCCTTTCAGAAGAGCACTATGTCATATAAAAAACATTCTCAATTGCAAATTATGTGCACCTGTGATTATTAAAATTATGAAATGTCTTATTAAAATGAAAGTTTTGGTTTTTTGACATTCATACCAACCTTTAGTCACATGCTCTGACAGAAGGAACCGAAGGCTGGCACTTCAGTATTTGAACTTAAACAAAAATACAATCTGGAACCATACATCTGATTTAATAAGTACAGATAACAGAGATATCTTTTAAAGTATTTGTTCTATCTTTCAACTTCAACATTTGTGCCTAAACCTGCATTCCATGATTTCATAACTAGGTCTTCCTTGTATAAATAATGAATAGATCTCTTTTTAAATTATTTAATGTTAAATGGACGGAAATTCTCTCTCTTCTCTGGTTTACATTTTTCTGAATACAATTGTTTGTTAAAGCAGTCACTACCTCAGTTGCAGGAACAAGCTGAACATGACTGAACATCTACTGCAATAGACTGATTTTTGATGACTTCGTTCTCTGGATAATGGGTCAAATTAATATCACTAACTTCTTCCTTTATTTAATTTTTTTTCCCCTAGAGTTAGATGGAGAATCACAATTTATTCACGGCTTACTCAAAAGATCTCTCAGATTACAAGGTATTGGCTTTTGAATTTTGTATGTATAAAAATCACAAACCAAACTTTGCTTGTGGTTGCAAATGTGAAGTTGCATTATTGAGTTAGGAAATTGAACCAGAAAGAGACTGTGTGACTCGATATCTTGTGCAAGAAGTGGCACACCCTGGGGGTTTTTTGCATGTAAAAATGCACCTCAGCTGTGTTAAGCTTAAACATAAAAGTAGTTTGAAAATGCTGAAGTTACAGTGAACAGCATGTGCTAGGTCTACAGCATTAGTCCTGGGGATAAAATCTGCTTTGGAAAAAAACAAAAACTATAACAAAAATGTTATCGAGACAAAATGATTTTTTAAAAGAAAATTCAAAAATATCTGAGTCTATTAACTGTTAGGAATAATCTTCAATGCAGGAAAAAAAAAAAAAAAAAAAAAAAAAAGAAGAAAAGAAAAAAGAGAAGCCAGAGGAAAATTACTGATGTAAGAGCAAAATGAAGATGGCTGCCATTTTATGCCAAAGATA